TTCATGGGTATCGTAGCCCCATATTTCTCTTTCGAATGGTGAAAACCGCACCTCTCTATCTATCACCGTTCCGGAGCTATAAGGTCAACACTGACCGGCCATTCTATTTTGAAATGGATAGTAGTTGTTAAAAATTAATCGCCGCTTCCTCCAGCCAAAGAAGGAATCTAAAACTTATGCTTTTATCCAGATTGTAGCACATACTTCGCACTATAAAACTCTGATAGGAATATGTTTAATTACTTAAGATACATTGTCAAAGAAAAACAGAATACTCTCTTTACATTTGTGATGTCATAGAAGTGATAGCTAGGCATGTACCAAGCTTTAGCTTGACGAGCTTGTTTTCTCTTGAGCTTGATATAGCGATAGTTTTTACTACCGACGTGCATGCTAGATTATTCTAACTTCCCTTTGGCGGTAATTGTAGTAGAGAAGGCGCCCACCTGTCTCTTCTAACCCATCATAAACTGGAACCGGACACATAAGATATCTTTGTGTAAAACCTATAACTAATATAAAAAAATAAGTCACTTTTGCAAATCACTTTTTCTTGTGAGATTTATCTAGTGAAAATTTGCAAACACGCGCATTTAGTATTTTGAATGTATTGGTAGAAGCTAACAATTATTTATTCCAAAACAGAATAAGCGGTGGTGTTCCCTTAAAATATTTGGAACCAAAAAAAACAGAATTACGTAAATTTTCGAGTATAAGTCAGATGTAGATCAAAATTCCGTTACACATATAGTTCGCAGACATGGTATGCCCAGCAATTATAACGGAACACAGTAACACAGAAAGTTTTCTATATCGGTAAAACATCGAATTTTTCCCCCTAAATTTCTTCCACCCTGTATTCCTATCGTCCTGTACTCCCGCCATCATGAATTCCTGAATTCCTTCCATCGAATATTCCTATCATCCTGTACTCCTACCATCATGAATTTCGGAATTCCTTCTATCCAGTATTCGTATCATCCTCCAGTGCTGCCATCAAGAGTTCCTGAATTCCTTCCATCCTGTATTCCTGTCATCCTTTACTTCTACGATCATGCATTCCCAAACTCGTGAATTCCTCCCATCCTGTGTTCCTATCATCCTGTGGTACTACCATCATGAACTCCTGAATTGCTTCCATCCAGTATTCCAATGTTCCTGTTCTCCTGTCATCATGAATTCCTGAATTCCCTCTATCCTGTATTCCTATCATCCTACAGTGCTGCAATCTTGAATTTCTGAATTCCTTCCATCCTGTATTCTTACCATCATGAATTCCCAAATTCGTGAATTCCACCCATCCTGCATTCCTTTAATCCTGTAGTGCCAGCAACGTGAATGCCTCAATACCTGAATTCCTTCCACGCTGTATTTCTACCATAATATAGTGCTCCCGTCATGAATTCCTGAATTCGAGCCATCTTGAATTCCTTCCATTATGTATTTCTATCATGCTGTACTCCTACCATCATGAATCCCTGAGCTATTGAATCCTTCCATATTGTAGTCCTACCATCCTACCATCATGACTTCTTGAATTCCTGAATTGCTTTCGTGCTGTATTCTTATCATCCTGTAGTGCTCCCATCATGAATTCATGTATTTCTAAAGTGCTGAATTCAGGAATGCCTTCCATCCAGTATTCGTATCATCGTGTACTCCTAACATCATGAACTCCTGAATTGCTTCCATCCAGTATTCCTATCTTCCTGTACTCCTACTATCATGAATTCCTGAACTCCTTCTATCCTGTATTTCTATCATCCTCTAGTCCATCCACCAGTGAATATTATTACATTCCGGAGTATTTGATTTGATGTGCCGGTCACTTCGAACGAGTAAAAGGCTCTCGCGTCAACTTGCTTTGCAGCAAACGCAAAGTTTCCACCTCACCTCTTATTGTGCATTATAAAAATCTTATTGTTATGAATTACGGGTTTTTCTTTTCGTTGATTGTTTTGATGCTTGGTCAAACTAACACTTTCAGGGCAAATATTTCGTTTCATAAAATTCACCCATTGTTAGAAAACGTTAGAGCCAATAATCGGAATAAGTAGTATTTTAGCGAAGCAGCCATAATAGACGAATAAAATTAAGTATTTATTTTTTACCTGCAAATCAACAAAAATCGATCCATTACAAGATTCCGCAATCCCGAAGATCTCGGCTAAGCAGAAAACTACCTCCTTGCTTTAAAATTCTACTGTTCAAAAGAGAATGTAAATTCTTTACAAAATAATGAACGTTTCCAAGAGTTTCGTCATGTATTGATGAAAAACGGTTACGTGTGGATACTAAAACAGAGAAAATGGTGCTTGTTTGATGAATGAGGCCCTTTTTCCTTTGAGAGAGTTGCACTAAACAAAATCAATTAAAAATTTGTTCCGCGCGCTGTTGTAGACATGTCGATCAAAGGCCTAGTTCAAAGTGGGCCATTGATAAATAATAATATGTTGCAGATAGCGACGGATGATTCGATGGAAGTGAAGTTAATTTAATTTCGAGTGCTTTCAGTAGATATTTAATAGCTTTTGAATGATCTTTTAGAGAATCGTAAATAGATGAAATTTGAGTGTAAACTGTACCAAGTGATGGATGATTGGGTGGGAGAACTTTTAAGTCAATTTCAAGCGCTTTTTCGCACATTTCTAAAGCTTCGGAAAACCGTTTTTGTGCTTCGTAGACCTGTCCAATGTTTAAATAACACGTTGCAATTTCTTCACTCTGATCTGTCGATGGTAAATTTCTAAGTCCACTTTCCAGTGCTTTCTTGTAGTTAGCGAGTGCGCGTTCACATTCACCTTGTTCATAATAAATTTCACCAATGCTCGTGTAGGTCTTTGTAAGATGTAGATCATTTTCACGTAAATCTTTTAGTTTGTTTTCAAGCGACTTTGCTTTTTCCTCCAGGGTAACACCAGTAGTGCTGGCTGGAACAACAGTTGGCGGATAATTATCGCATGACGACGCTGTACTGCAGTTCATTTTCGTTTTCACTGTTTTGATGTTGTTGATTACTCTTACTTTTACCTTCGATTTTTTATTATCCCTTCTTTCTGATAGCAGTACTGCTGTTGTTCTCACAAAAAAAAGCTTTTTACGTTTAATAGATGGAAGAGTACATGAAGTGTTTTTACTATTTTAATTTTATTGATTACCTTCGATTTTTCATTTTTCTTTAGTTTCTGGTAGCAGAACTGGTGCTGTACTTGAAAAAAAAGCTTTAAATATAGAAATGAATTGAATGCAGCGTAGCATGGAGGCGAAAGAAAGAAAAGGTGCAATACAACGTTTTTTTATCATTATTCTCTTTCTATATATGACACATCTCAACAAAAAGGAATATTTTTTCGTTTCTTGAAAGTTTTTTCATCAGCTTATTTCGTGGTTTAACACAGGTGCGCATTCACGTTGTTTCTTTCGCCATCTGTCTGTCTGTGACTACGTGATTTACCGTTTATAGAACTAAAGAGTTGGTTTTCGATGATGGTTACGCCCATTGCATTTCTGCGGGTCTGGTCAAATTACAAGCACAGATGATTCAAAGCTTTACTTTAACATAAAAACAATCACGCAAAAGCAAAAAAGGTTCAACAAGGCAACTCGTCCATATCTTTTTTTTTCTAAACATATTTATTTCTAATGCTTATAATAAACATACAAAGGAAACAGTGAATACGTACTACATCTCCGTATAGACTGGACTGAGTCTACAGTCCATTTCAGTCCAGTCTATGTGGACTGGACTGGACTCGGAAAATTTTTGGATGGACTTGAATCGAGGAGAAATCGTAAACGACAAGTTGTATTTGTTTTGTTAAAGGTCATTCTAGAATACTAATAGAGAAGAAAAAGAAATAACACAATAAAAGTAAATTTTAAAAATGGCTCGAGAAGAATTAGAGATACACCAACAAGGATGTTTCCGTCAAAGAACTAAAATAAAAATGAAATAACCTATATCTCTCATTCTCTAGTCCTTTTGGGAATTTACTTTTATTCTGTTATTTCGTTTCCTTGTCTTTTAGCATCATCGTGTGTTCCTTTTAGTTTAACTACCGTCAGACGGACTTTCATATGTTTCATTATATGTACAAGTTTCGTGTATAAACAACATCTCTCTTTATAGCTCTCTGTACATTTTTCTGATGATGAATTAGACTGTTCGAAAGCTTAAAAACGAATAGTCGATGTTGTGGCCGACATGACTCATCGCTGTACTGGCTAGTGTATACAGTAGCCACCACAGAATATTTCATAACTCTCTATGAGCTAAGATTCTTGTCAATACAATCTGTGGATAAATCCGTTATTTTTCTTATTCCAGTGTCTCAAAAAAATCATTCTGACCTTTTCCGTTTGACATAGAGAGACATAGAAGTTCTTCACAATTCCATCACGACGACGATAGAAAATGGAAGGTTTGCCATTTTTTACTTTGTCTTTCTTATATTCTTCACGCCATTACGCATGTATGTCTCCATATCTTACGCCACCGCTCATTTTTAACGAAACACTCTGAGCTTCTTTGCTTTCTAAGGTAAACTTTCAAGTTATAAAACCCTTAAAATAAGAATACAAGCTAACCAAATCTATGATAACCCGAATTTCAAAAAATCAACCAGTGACTGCTGACTAGCTAGTAGAGCTCTTAAAGAAGCATAAAAAACCACACACAGCA